TCCTGTTCTACTTCCTTCGTAGATTGTATGTCGGGAAATATTGCGTTGAGAAGGTTGCGAAAACTTTACAGAGAAAACGAACGTGTCTTTTACACCTATAGACCGGCCCGTATTGACTGAAGGCACATTCTGTGGGATGGCTCTTGCTAAGCCGGAGACGGGGGAGTCAAGTGGAGTTTCCTTGATCGACGAGAGTAGAGTATATAACCCTTCTAGGTGGTTGTTCGAAGTCTATTTGCACATCTTATTTAGATAAGTGTGGCTCACAACAGTTTGCCTGGCGATAGGTCACAAAAGAGTTACATGATACGCGGTTCCCACCTTCACTAGCGTTATTGACGTCAAAGTTGCCTGTATCGGGTCCAAAGTTACGCATAGGACTACAGTTAGGGTTAGTGTTAGGAGTTGGGTTATTCTTCGGACCAGGGTTGCAAGATTTGGGTTGCGGTATGAATTTGAAGTTAAGGTTAGGGTTAGGGTTTTAGAGCTAAGGTTGGAATTAGACTTGAAAAAGGAGACACGATCGCGGGGACAAGAGCTTTATTAGCCTGAAGTTTCGGATTCCTACTCGAATCCATCATCAGAGACAAAAAAACAGAAACGGGTGGTTGCTGCACAAGGGGCTGAGGTATTTATAGGATGCAGTAACCATGCTGCCGCATACCTATGAACATTCACGGCTCCCCCCTTCATCCGAGAACGTCGCACGTGGTGTGATCACTGCTTGATGGCCGACATTCGAGTCGATAATTGCTGCAATTTCATCACGTGCGTTGGATGTTGGCGTGATGATTGCTCGACCGTCTGACGCACCGACCCCGGTGTTGGGAAAAGTGTTCACCTCTGCGCTCCCCGCATGGCTTGTTACTCCGCCTAGGCGAAATTTTAGCAGTGATCACACCACGTGCGACGATCTCGGATGAAGGGGGGAGCCGTGAATGTTCATAGGTATGCGGTAGCATGGCTACTGCATCCTATAAATACCGCAGCCCCTTGTGCAGCAACCACCCGTTTCTGCTTTTTTGTCTCTGATGATGGATTCGAATAGGAATCCGAAACTTCAGGCTAATAAAGCTCTTGTCCCGGCGATCGTGTCTCCTTCTTCAAGACTACTTCCTGGGACTCGTGTCTTCGCTTCTATTGGTTGGAATTAGAGTTAGAGTTTTGGGGTTAGGATCTTAGGGTTAGGGTTTTGAGGTCTGGATTAAGGTTGCGGTTACGTTCGAGTTTTCCTTAAAGGCTTACGAATTAAGGATTAGGGTTACCCATTACAGACATGACCACGATCGGCGTTAGGGTTGTAACTGCCTAGTTTTCCCGGGGGTATTACATGTCATATCCTTGTCGTATGCGGTAATGGCATTGCTTCGGGGCAAAATCCATAGGAGGCAGCCACTCTTCAAACGTACTTACTTAATGGTACAGGGGGTATTCATCGATAGTTCTTACAGAACTCATTTGTTCCGTTGTTTCTTACGGACTTTCTCTCTCGAGCCGAACCGGCAGCTGCACAGCGGCGCATGATATAGGCAGAATGTTATTACCAACAAAGTCAAAGAAGACTGAAATGGCCATTTCCGGTTTATTAGCCGTCGTCAGTCAGTCATACCCAGCCCCGAAGTGCGGGACACCTGAGGTTCAAACTCACGACCTAATAGTTAGACGTCCGACGCTCCTAACCACTAAGCTACGGACTCGATGCCCTGTTGGTTGCGATCGGGTATAACTAACTGACGACGGCTAATAAGCCAGAAGTGGTCGTTCCAGTTTCCCTTGTCTTTGCCGATAATAAAATTCTGCCTACTTACTTAATAGATGAATTACCGGCGAACATAAGAAATTGTTGGGGACTGTCGCCCACGCTCTGTCTTTCCCAGCAACATTTTTAAAATTACTGTTAGGATTATGAAGTCGAGAAACCTCGTTTATGTAGACAAGGGAGGGATACCGACAAAGACAGGGTGGAACGCAATGGCCCTTTCCGACTTATTAGTCATCGCCAGCCAGTCTTACCCAATTCCAAATTTGTGGCACCAGAACTGGCCATCCTGGTCTCCATTTTTTTTGTGTCGGTATCCCCTTATCCACTTCTTTCATCTCCTTGTCTTTTTAGGAAACAGTATCCGACCTTAGTCATTCTCACCTCGGAAACATTCTGCCCCTGCGTCCTGGACAATGGTGCTTGGCGCCTGCAGTCAGGTACCGACTTTCGAGCGAACCCTCAGTTGCGTCTCGGATGGTTAAGCATATGCCTCTAGCAAAACGTTTAAAACATTACGAATCTGGGGAAAGTACTAAAGGTGTGCACCATTTATCACTTAGTTTGACCAAACTGGGTGACAAGTAAGAATGGTAAATCTGATAAAGATAACCGAAACTCAACTGTCATTAGGTCCCAAAGAAAAAGACTGGGACGAAAGAAACTGGCATGGTTGTCTTCATTACAGATATGATTGCAATGTACAGCTATGTGCAGGTGTGATTACGATAAACATTGACAGGAGACTTAAGAAGTATCTTCATTTATTAGGCTCAGAGAAACGGGCTGGAGCAAATGCCTGAGTAAAAAGTTTGTCTGACTCAGGAATGTTGGTTTCATTTTGCGCAGCGGTCTACACAGTTCAGAAGAAGCTGACCTTATTTGCTTCTTTCTGTCGCTAACACACTACTTGTTAATAGTGAGATTTCAGGGAACAGAAAGTTTACTGTGATAAACAAAGCACATACGGTTTGTAATAACTGCCAATGAAGGTTCAAAATGCATTATCTGCTCAACAGAACACTGCGTTTTTTAACCATCCACACTCAGTCACTTGCAATCGGCTAGGGTGATCAAATGATGCAATAAAAAATCCATTTAGAAAATGATATTCAACGGTTAATTTGGACACTAACCAAGCCCAGAAAGAGATGCGGCAACAGTGGACAGAAAAACTGGCTGAAGCCCTGTTATTACTTAGATAATTTGGTAGGATGGTAGTTGGTAGCCCTGCCCATTGATTCTACAATTGCACTTACTGGCTCGATTTCAAGCTCTGTGATTACGTTCTCATTATGTCTGGGAGTGCACACGCAGAAACTCTGTCAGGATGACTTTCTTCTTCACTTTAACCGCCCCGAGAACGAGGCGCTGCAAAAATGTCTATATAGACTTATTGTATTGCACTCCTACACGGAAATCTTTAGTAAAGGGCGAAAGATTTGTCCTAGGCGGATTATGATTCATCATGCTTCTCGTTATGCTTCTAATTGCATGCGCGCACTGTGTTACCTGTATATGATTCATTTTAGAGGTACTATCCTAGGCTGCATACCACAGTACCCAGATGTTACCTGAAGGCATAACCATCCGTGTGCTGTCGCAGTATTTGTAAGTATTTCGAAATCTACCTAAGACCCTACAGGTCAGTAGTCCTTTCTGCTGGAGATACTGCACTAGGTAGGACGACTGGATTATTTCCAGGATCCGCGAATAATCTGTCGGTCTATCCACTTGCGGTCCTGCTTTCCTTCGCCTTCTAAGAGACTGGGCTCTGCAAGCAGAACAAAGTGTAACTTCATATACAGAGTGCTAATTCCTCTTTACATTGCTTAGTACACCATTCACGTATAGCAAACAACTACTGCCATAGTTTTAATCCTAGATGTGGCCACAGTGGCAATACACTATTATTCGCAGATTTTTTCTTTCGCCTAAACATAATTTTCGCATTAAAGTCTTACCCCGCTTGCGTTATGCCGTCCTGCGTGCCGCTGCTTCACTCTCGTGTTCTCATGTCCATTCTGTCGATTAGAGTACTATCGCACATACTGCGGAATGACCTTAAGTCACACTGCCTTCACTTGCTATTCTTTCCAATCTGGGGCAAGGATGCATTTATTCCGCATACCGTACTAATTAACCATGCTTATTTCTATACCCTCCTTGCATTTTTCACCTTATTTAAATTAGGGTTCCACTTTGTCAGGAACGTCAATTCCAGGCATACCCTACAAGCGCCATTTACGCCTCCGCTCATCTGCCCCAGCCGCATAGCCCTATTACCACCGGTCTCGTAAGACAGGTAGCTGGGAGTTTTCGGTATCGGGAGGGCTACCAATTACCATCTAACCGATAATTTTTTCCGCATATTTCCTGATGGAACTACAGGTAGTGCTTCCTAATCCACAGGAAAGGTCAGCAAATATGCTTGGACCGATACAACGATTAAAGGGCACAACTGGTCGGGGGCTTAGGCCCAGACGGATAGCTTGCAAATGCGACTGAACATCGATAATTAGAACGCCTATACCTCTTGAAATGCACTGTACATGCGATGTCAAATACCGACCCGGTCATGACGGTGTTAGGCATGAGGAGGAAGCTGGCGCCATGGTGAACGCTGAGAAAACGCTCGATAGAAGAATGTCCCCATAAGCATTTAGTTGCTGCGTAAACTGTGACCCGACAGATCACCCCGGTCAATATAATATGCCATTTTTGACTATAAAACTGTCTTCGGAGAACACGGGGAAGCAGCAAAAAGAGAATCTGAGGAATGTCTCTGCGAGCTTAGAAGGTGTTTCTTTACTGACACGGAAATGATCATTTGGAATCCCGTGACTGACTAGGAAGAGCAGGCTGTTTCGATAACGATACCTTCAGTGGATAATAGGTCCGAGTCTAGAGAGACGTTCCCACGATGACGGAACGGGTCTTAAATGCTACCCACGGCAAACTGACGGTCTCTTAACAAATCCGTTGTATGGTCAAGTTCAGCGCCGCCGCCGCCGCCACCACCACCACCGCCATACGCAAAGGGCCAGCCGCGACCACTGGAAAACCCACTCGCGGAAACAATGTCAGTCGAGCCGAATGAATGCATGGATGTAACAGCTGCGAGGCCTGGAACATCATCACTACGGCCAACTACGAAGTACATTCTTAAGTTGTCTGCGACCACCTTATTCTTGAAGTTGGTTGAAAGCACTGATTAAAGTCCTCTGGGGTTCAGCCACTGTCACTTTCCAAACATCAGCAAGTACAACAGCCGAGACATCCCCAAAAGGCCGCCACTACCACCATCATCATCATCATCATCATCATCATCATCATCATCATCATCATCATCATCATCATCAGCAGCAGCAGCAGCAGCAGCAGCATCAGCATCAGCATCAGCATCAGCATCATCACCAGCATCGTCGTCATCATCATCCTCATCATTCTCGTCGGTGTTGTTGTTGTTCTTGCTGTTGTCCTCACCGGCACCCATTTTCGAAGAGAAAGTGATCTGAAGTAGCTTTTATGGAGCTGATCTCAAAGGTCAGCTGCTTCTTCTTTGTCACTTCAAATAAAAAAACAACTGCTTGACTTTGAACTACGCACAGCCATACTTTCCTAATTCGAGGTCTCGAAGAGTGCATCGATTAAATGTCTGGGCAGTGGATCAAGAACAAAAATAAGATAGAAGAAGATTGATTATATTCGGACGATGAGTAGACGTCCCTCGCAGTTACTAGCTGTCAGCTGAGGAAGTGGATATAAAAAAGTTTCAGGATCAAATTATTCCCAACCGGACAAATTAATGAGGCGATCGTTGGAGTCTTGGAACTTCCCAGGTTTTTTTGAGACCTGTGGCGACATCTCAATCGTCGCCAAAAGTCAGTTTCACTAAGTATTCGTCTGACCAGTTCTACCCTTCAACCATGAATAATAGGATGAACGCGTGGGCAAATAGAGATTCTCGATCGATGCTGCCTGAGGTCTAATCCTCGACTGAAGCGCTTCCAATTTATCTCGAATGACCTCGATTGCTGCGAATACACCGTAAGGAGCCCTCGGGTCACCCAATAGGTGGTTGATTTGGTTTGAGCGAGTTCTGAAATGCCCACCCCATGAGTCCTGCGTCACTGGTCGAGGTTAGCTGTCGCCCTCCAAGTGGAGGCAACAATGAAGAAGTCGCCTTAAAGCCTGAACTTGTTTTTTGTCTTCGGTCTTTATCATTAATAGACGTTTTAACCCAGATTCGTAAGATCCGCTGCCGTTGTTTGTAGCGTGTGGGGGAACACCACTAATGATATGACTCAGGTTGGCTAGATAGGCAATAGTGGGGAGGAGTATCAGTCGTGTAACAAGCAAATAAACCAAAAATTCCAACGGATCAGCGCTCATATTTGGAAGATTTGAATGTAGGGCAAGGAAACGGTTGTTAGTGGGTGAGAACCTGTCCGTAAGTTACTCATAGTCAGCTGAAAACTAGAAGCCAGATCTAGAAATCAATTGGCTTCAATCTTCCTCAGTAACACCATTCAAGTAGTTGACAAAACGTCTGTATTGAGTTGATGACAGGGCCTGACACAGAGATTCCTCGTAAGAATTCACAGGTTGTCTGCATTCTTCGGACTTTCCAACGCACTTCTCGAAATTTTCGGAAGCCCTCTGCCCCTGCGCCATTTGATCTGCAGGGTCAACCTCGTTCTCATCGTGAGCCCGTCTAGTTCGCTTAATGGGTGTCTCAGGCACCTGTTCAATGAAATCTTCTGATGAACGACCAAGAAATACTATGTTGGGGTCCATCGGCCATTTCTTCACTTCTTTTTTTTGTACCTCACCGAGACAAGTGCAATTCACGCAGGCATCGGTGTAAGTGAAGCCCCGAGTCCCTGGCCTCAAGCACAAACTGAAAGCATGCATTTCATCACACCTAATTTGCCTCTGCTGAAGGTCTGCAAGTATAATATATTCAAATGACAGCGTAGTTCGCGGAGTAGCATCAGCGATCTGCGGCACAAAGGTTAGACAGGAAGATAGTAGGAGCAGGAGAACGCACATCACTTTTCTCAGTGTCGGTAGGCGCTGTGCGGAGAGATTGGGAAATTCGAAGGGGAAGTCGATCGATATTATGTGGAGAGTAAGCGTAGCACTGGCTTCTACGCGCGCGAAGCTGACAGGAGCTGCTTCACTCGACACAACGACCTGTTCAATGGATGACTCTGTGAACCCACTAGTTACAGAGAAGTGACGGCCATTGTTAGAATTCGGAATTTCAACTGCTGTACAAGAAGTGAGTAAGTAGAGTAACGTCGCTGTCGTTACGATAGGGGAACAAACCAGTGTTTCCAGTAATTTGTCCTAGTCAATATGACAAAAGCACCATCTTCTGGGAACTGTAGAGTTGAATTACGCATGATTTAATTCACAGTAAAAGTGACATGTCTCTCATTCGCTCTCACTCTCTATATATTTCGCGCCCAGCCGTGCTCCACTGAAATGTTTGATCGACTAGAATGGAGACGCACATGAGCATAGAAGTCTGGTTTCACCCGTGCAACTCTACAAAAGATACGTGGATGATGTTTTCGCTTTTGTTAAAGACATAAAGGAGGCTGAAGAATTGCTTTCTATCATGAATAAGCTGTATCCAAGGACCAAATTTACAATGGAGAAGGAATAAGACAACCAACTATCCCTTCTGGACGTTCTTATGTCTAGACAAGAAGATGGTTCTATAAGGCGTTACGTTTTCCACAAGATTACATGGAAGGGACATTACTTGCATTTTTTTGAGTTTGGTACCCATACAATGGAAACGTAACTTGGTATACGCTCTTTTTCAAAGGGCTAGGAACATTTTCTCCAATGACACACTGCATGCAGAATTTGAACACCTCAAGGAAGCTCTGCTTAAGCGAGGATATCGTTTCATCCACAAGTACAGCAACTCTGCACGGCCAAAATTCACAGAACATTTTGTTCCGAAAAGCCTGTCTTTATATCTTTGTCCTTTAAGGACGACAATATTTTAAATACTATCAAACGACGGCTGCGTTCCACCATTGAAAGGAAGTACAATGCAGCCGAACTCGTCTTACGCCTCTTCCGATTCCATGGGAAAAGGATGCCTTGCCGATGCACGCCACTTCAAATTGTGTTTATGAATTCACATGCGCTTGCGGATGCAAATACATTGGGCAAACGCAAAGGCAGTTGGCAGGCAGGTCTTTTGAGCACCTGCCCAGATGGCTCCTAAAGCAGAAAAATAAAATACCGCCTTTCTCCATTAAGAAACACCTGCTTGATAGTGGTCACTCCGACGACCCCAAAACTTCCTTTCGAGTACTTGTTCGGGCACGAACAACACGGACATTGCGTTACCTAGAGGCGGCCTATATACGACGGGTAAAACCAGATCTTTGTACACAGTAGGAACACGTGGTTAGCATAGACGTCCCGCTCATGAATGTCACATGTGTGTTGGTAGCTCATGTACTTGAACCAGGCTTAGCTCGATGGGATCTCACATCGGCGAGAATCGTCACAAGGCTACGTTAGGAAGGATTCTTGGCAATCTCACTCCACGTTGGACAAATGGACTTTTCCAGTCAGCGGACAAAATTTCAAGTCGCTGTCTTCAGACCATCATGTACATCAGACCGAACGAAAATGCTATTGAATGATAGGCAACGCGCCACACTCCTTTTGAATTCCGTTCAGGTCAAACGCAAGAGCGTCGCTTGTTCTGGGGGTCTGTACTCCCACCGCATGCGCGACGCAACTCACGGTGATGTCCTGGAACAGTCCCAGTTCTAAAGAAAACATACCATGTCATAATGAAAATATTAAGATATGATGGACAGAGCAGTAAAGGCTAGCACTTCAAGAAGGATTCACTACAGCGCAAAAGCAAAACATCAAGGTCGAAATTAGGGGGTTACAACTTTGGATGACATATGTGAAGTAAAAACCTGTGGTTTCGTAATTGGCGTCTGTCAACCGCAACATGTTTTTCGGCACTGATAATCACTGACAGCCAGTTTTTAGAAGCGGTTTATTCAACAAATTTTCCCTTCTATCCTTGTGTTCGTACATCCTTTAAGTCTATCCTTTTAGTAATCTAAGGGATCTTTCAAACGTACTTATTAAAGTGGAGTGACACGTTTCCCTGAAAGCCAATAACTGACGAAGTCGAGGTCACAATGCAAATCAGGACGGCATAAACGGCTTTCCTAGTTTCCTTGATGGTCAGGAGATCTTAGTCTCCGTTCCGGTAGTAGTCCACTCATATCGTCTGGACATCAGTCCTATCATTGGGTGACACAATTAGGCCATTTTAATGACGGTGCACGACTTGGGGAGTAAAGCACAAACCTGAAGAGGGGACTTTCTCCAGTAGCTACTGCACGTAAAAGTAAAATAGGCGTAAAATAGATGGTTAAACTTCTTTCTGTTAGAAACGTGGCCCCACTTCTGTGGCATACTGGTGAGCATTGTATATCACTAGGCTAAGCGAGCATGACGCCGCGCGTGTGATGGAGCAGACCTTTGGTACCACTTTTGCTACGTAACCATAGAAAAGCACGCTCGGATGCACATACTGAGTCTAGGACAGCTACTAACATAGGCAATTTTGCGAATATATGCTAACGTACATTTCTGCGCAAATTTTTAAACCGTTTAGTCGACAAAATTAAGTAGACACATTCTGCACGAAAAAAGGGCATTTCGCGGAGGCGGCTGAGTGAATAAGCAAAATGCAGGCCAATTTAGGAGCGTAAAATGATCATCTCGGTTTCCGTCATCAGGTTCCATGAACTAGGTCACATACTGTGAAGCAGAATGTTATTACCGGCAAAGAAAAGGGGGATTGCGATGGTCATTTCTGGCTTATTAACCGTCGTCAGTCAGTCACACCCAGACCCGAAGTATTGAACACCTGGGGCTCGATTTCGCGACCTGCTAGTTAGAAATCTAACGCCTGTAACCGCTGAGCCAGGGGCTCGATGCCCTGTATAACTGACTAACGACGGCTAATAAGCCACAGATGGTCATTCCAGCTTCCCTCGTCTTTGTTGGTAATGACATTTTGCCTACATCATGCGCCGCTGTGCGGCTGCTGGTTGGGCTCGAGAGGGAGCCCACAGGGCCCGACAGGACGAATCAGTTCCGCAAGAAGACGATCGGTGAGTGTCCCTTTACCGTACTGTTAAGTTTCTACTACAGTGGAGGGATCGCCGACAAGGACTTCTTGGGAATTATTAATTTTAGGCTTAGCAATAAAGTGGTATAAGCGGCTTAGTCGTTGGTATAAGCGGCTTAGGCGTTTTGTCATTCAGACAGCTAAACGATAGTCCTCTTCCCCCAGTGTCGTAGCGGGATACAAAGAAAGCCACAGTGAGCTGAAGGTTCGGACAATTATTTCATCCCTTTTCGCTATTTCAGGACACAACGGTGACTTCCATGCATGTCAAAACTCAGCACTCCTCACCCGCAACC